GAGAGAGAGAGAGAGAGAGAGAGAAAAAGAAAGAGAGAGAGAGAAAGAGAAAGATAGCCTGGCACCTGTATTGTTGATATGGCTGCTCACCCCCCGTCTCTCTGTCCCTCGCAGAGGCGCAGATCAACTTTGACATCATCGGCGCCGACCTCGCCGACCTTCAGGGTCTGGCGTACGACTACAGCAGCATCACGCACTACGGCGAGTTCACGCACGCCGTCGACGCCAGCGCCCCCACGCTCGTGCCGAAGTCACCGGACGACGCCGCCGACATGGGTCAGCGCAGCGCCCTCAGTGGCACCGACGTGCAGCGCGTAGCTGGAGCGTACGGCTGTTGAACACCTCGCGCCATCTCTTGGCCCCGAAACGAAACGTAGGGAGTGTAGTAGTTTGGATAAAAAAATTTTTTTAATAATGCGTGCGCATTCGCTCAATGGTTGCTTTTGCTTCGTGGTTGATTAAGTGACGTCAGTGTTTTGGAATTTGCATGTATTTTTTTCAGCGTTTTATGTTTAGTATGCATGTTGATAATCGGGTAAACAAATTAATCAATAAATTACAATCCGTGAAAGCAGTAGAGATTACCATGTATATGTGTGTATGTGTATAACTATTCGTATATAATAACTAAGCACACACACGCATGCGTGCGCCCTCACAAGCAGGCAGGCATGCACACACGCACTCTATATTGGCATATTCAGACCCCGCAAACAAAACCAAAGAAAAACCTAACAGGGCAAAACAAATCGACATTCTCTTTACTGGGGTGACACCAACTTTATTCCACTATGAAAATCAGATCGGAATTCCAGAAGAAGAAGAATAGGAGGACATTTCGTGCGTGCGCCCGCGTTACATTTGGGGAAACGTTGCCACTCACGACCGGGGATATAAACTCACTGCACATCTGTCATTGATGCTTGTCACTAAACGCTGCAGAGCACTAGTGAGCATCGTCGTCATCGTCGTCATCGTCGTCATCGTCGTCATCGTCATCATCGTCATCATCGTCGTTGTCACCATCATCATCATCGTCGTTGTTGCCGTTAGAGTCGTGGGACTAGATTTAGTATTTATTCATATTTATACAGACAGATATAGATATGTGATGTCAACAACGTTGCCTGGTTACGCATCTCCGGTGTGTGATCAATCGAGATCTCGCGAGATCACGTCGCGAGAAAAACAGCAGAACGGGCTTTCGGCAGAACGGGAAAAATCGGCGCGCGTCGACGTTTGCCGATCAGCGTTTTACAAATGGCCGCCGGGGAGATTTCGCGTCGGGCGTCACTGCGTCACACGAGAACCAATATGGCTGCCGGTTCAAGGTCATCCTGTTAAATGCAGATTGCGTGAAATACATCTGTGGTAACAACAAACAACTGCGGGAACCGCGGGTCTGCCGTCTATGCACAGTGGCTCCCTCTGTCATTGCCGCTCATTGCGAGCATCCGCCACTGCACCGTGCCGTCGCGTGCAGTTTCCATATCTTTTTTTTTTCTCGAATTTCATGTTTTTCAAATAAAACGTTCGTAATTCCATTTCTATTGTACAAACGGATAATAATAATAATGATAATAATAATAATAATAATAGACAAGTGGACAACTAGTTTCCATACACAACTTTTTCGAAATACTCTTTCCGTATATTATAACGTTGTTAGTTTCAGTCTACTAAAAAAGCTACTCTGTTTCACTTCAGCCGCGGGCGATAGCAGCGAATGGACCCAGTCATTATTTACGCAGGGTCTGACTCTAGACTGACACCAGTAGTGTCTAACACCAGAAATGCTAGAGCTACTCCCATTTTACTTCATCATTACCATCATCTTACATAACTATTTTGCCTCGGCGACTTTGCCGCCAGTTTTCCCTTGGCCCCTCCCACTACACCCTCCCCCCAGCTGCTTCCCCTGCGTAATAATGGACCCGGTCCATCACTTCACTGCTCGTGCACCCCGGCCCAATAACATTATCAACAACAACTGTAATAGACTAACTCTACAGCAAAAGCGCGTTTCGCGACGAAAGCTACACGCAAACACAGGCTCCCTCTCTCTCTCTCTCTCCACGCAGTAGTGGCGCGTGTTCGCTCCCAACGCCCCCTGGAGCGAGAAGCCAGCACTAAGTCGAAATTTTCGTTAGGGGGCGCCACGCGCTAATTTTCCTACGTCGGCAGCAAGCCTGCACTATTTTTTTAGATTTTTTCCCCAGGCGCCACAGCTCCCGTAAAACGACGAGTTCCCAGCGCCCCCTACATTGCAGGGGTGACGGTGTCATAGCTGTATTGGATGCCAGCAGAGATTGGGGGCGGGGGGGGCCTGCCGTTATAAAATAAATTAAAAGCCTCACAGCGTGAGGTTCCCACCCTCAGGAGAAGGTGAAGGGGGCAACATTGCAACGCGATTGTTTGCCAGAAAAATATTACGATCCTTAAAACAAAACTCCCGGCCTGAAATCGACTCCGGCGAACGACACAAGAGCATGAGATTCGTTTCCGTAGCAACCGACACGACATCCCACGCCCGGAGGCGAGGCAAGCAGTGTCGGTTGCTATGGCAACGAACCGAGAGAGAGGTGATGAGATAATATTGCTGGCACAGTGAGCAAGCGCGCGAAGAAGATGGAAGACTTGCATTAGAAGTTGAATGGCCCCTCCCTCTATATTGCTCTCTCTACATCTCTCTTGACATTCAGACGGCATCCGCATCTAAATGCATCGCCATAGCAACAGCTGCCTCAATCTCTCATCTCCAAAGCTTCGATAGGTCACTCGTTTTCGTTGGCACCGTTTCCGGGACGTCGTCGCCGTGGCAACCGTCCTAGTAGCCGCCGGTGGCGTGGCGCTTGCAGAAGGGACGGCCGCCCTTGGCATAGAAGCTCTGGCCCTCTAGACACACCTGGCACACCTGCAATTAATGAGAAGTAATTAAGCAGGTGTCGCACAGGTGCATTGTACAGAGTCAGTAAGTTTAGAGTTGCTGATATGGTACGTTGAGTACATCTTCGTCGAAATTTCGAAAATTCGAAGTTTGGAATATCGGTAACATTTCATAACATTTCGTGACATCGATTCATGCGGCAACATGTGTCTGTGTGCGTGCGCGTGCGTGCGTGCGTGCGTGCGTGCGTGCGTGTGTGTGTGTGTGCATGTGCGTGTATGGTGACTTACGGAGCACTTGAAGCACTGGGAGTGATAGTTGTTGCCGAGCGCCTCGACCCAGTGATCACCAGCCTCTATGGAGTAGCCGCAGCCAGCACACTTGGTGGTGAACAGCTCATTCCAATCTGGAACACCAATCATCGATTATTGATTAATTGATTATTGAATGCTGACTCGATCGTGAACAATCGAACATTGCCTCGATCACGATCAATGGAACGTTGTCTTGTTTATAAGCAATGGAACATTGACTTGAACATTAACAACAGCAATACGAACACGAACAACAGAACATTGACACAGATCTGATAGCAGCTAAACCCTCCATCTGCCCCGCATTCATCAAACTTCCTCCTTCCATGCCAGAACTCTAGGGTCCCATTGTTAGAAACATATATAATTATAACCTAACATCAATACTAAAATCTCAGCAAACCTTTGCACATTAATTACATGAAGCATCGTGCACAATTTTCTCGTGACATTTTAGTCTGACGACAGTTTGCAACCATTAAGGATCTTTCTGACAACGTGCTCCCCTGGACCTCCCCCTTCTCCCCCTCCCCCTGCAGGCCCGTAGGGAGTTTTTTTTGCCACAAGTATATGGACCGAACGAGTGCCGGGGGCGCCAGTCTTTAGGGGGGTCTGGGAGCATGCCCTCCCGGAAAATTTTGAAAATTAGGTTGTTGCTAGACTGCATTTCGCGCGTTTTGAAGGCAGTATGATATGAAAACAGGCAGCCGAAAGCAAACCTCAAAACGTGGACATTTCTCAAATTTTTAAACTTCAAGATGGATTTTTTTCGCAAAAAAGAACCTCCGCAGCCTGGGGGGGGGGGCGCACCCGTCGCACACCCCTTCCCTATGTGCCTGCCCTGCGTTGCCCACCTTTCTCGCAGTAGGGCATGCTGTCCTCCAAGTAGAAGGAGTTGTTGCCGAAGGGACGGCGGCAGTGTGTGCAGGTGAAGCACTCCGGATGCCATTGCCTGTCCATCGCGTTCAGACAGTCCTGAAAACACGCGTAAAAAACACGTGATAGACACGTGATAAGCATGTGATCAACACGTGAGCGACACGTGGTAGACACGTGGTAGACACGTGAGCACCAAGTGGTTAACATATGATAAACATAAAACATGAAACAAGGCATGTTGGAGACAGGGAGAGACCCGACAGGACATCCCAGAGACAGGAATAGCACCAGTAGTGCATGTCAGATGCAGAGAGACCCGACAGGACACGCCATAAGCAGGTAAAGACTCGAAAGAACACCCCAGTGACAGGAAGAGACTCGAAAGGACACCGCAGAGACGGGAAGAGACCCGACAGGGCGCGTCGGAAACAAAAAGAGCCCCGGCGGGGCGCTGCGGGCGGCGACACTCACCCCGACGACGGCGCGGGAACACTTGGAGCATCGCGGCGCGAAGTACAGTTCATAGTCGCGCTCGCAGTACAGCTGTCCGTTCTCCTCGACGAAGCCCTGGTTCTGCAGCGGAGCGCGGCAGCGAGCGTTCGCACAGATGAAGTGCTCCGGGCACCAGGTCTTACCCATCGCTGCGATGAACGGACCCCTGCATGGTGAGAGAGAGAGAGGTAGAGTGTTAGAGAGAGGAGGGGGGGAGAGGAGGAGAGAGGGAGGGAGCGAGAGAGAGGAGGGAGGGGGTGAGGGTGAGTGAGAAGATGAAGTGCTCCGGACACCAGGTCTTACCCATCGCTGCGATGAACGGACCCCTGCATGGCGAGAGAGAAAGAGAGAAAGAAGGTGAGTGAGAGAGGGTGAGAGGGTGAGAGAGAGGGTGAGAGCGAGAGTGAGAGAGAGTCTGAGAGCGAGGGAGGTTGAGAGAGAGACAGGGAGGTTTAGAAAGAGAGAGAAAGAGAGAGCGCGGGAGGGTGAGTGAGAGAAAGAGAGACAGAAAGATAGAGAGACAGAGAGATTGTTAAGATATGGTCCACATGATAAAACCGTTAAGATATAATAGTGTCCTAATATAGTCATCATCAAGATACAGAGCACGATATATCGTTAAATGAGAATCATGACACGGTACTACACTCTACACTGATTCAAATTTGACGCTATTGAAATTCAACTACTGCTGCACGCAAGGCGTCGTGCAGGAACCCCTACATCGCGGCGAACTCACAAAACGATCACGTGACCACCGCGCTGCTACCTGATTGGTCCGCCGCACGCGGAGCAGACGGGAACACGCCCGGTTGGCTGGTTGAGGACTCCGCGGCCGCGACGCGGAGTTCCGGTGCTGCCGAACCTGCCACCGGCCGGCGCGGTGCCACCTCCGCCCATGGGGGCGCCACCTGGTGGAGGAAATAGGAAGCTGTGAGACGGGAGCAAGACCGCATTGGTGCGGACGGTCGATCCGCCGCCGTCGTTGTTGGATTCGCATAATTTACAATAACAACTAAACATATTATTCAGGGTAACACATCATATACATGTATATATATATATATATATATATATATATATATTATATATATACATATTTATAAGCATGCATGCCATTACATGCACACGGTATAGAGTATCAACAGCATGAGGGAAGATATATATATATATATATAATATACAGAGAGAGAGAGGTGAGAACAAGAAGGATAGCAGAAGAGGGAAGGGTAGGTGGCATGCGCACGGCACTACACAGATGCGACCAGTGGTAGCAGCACGTGCCAACAACACGGCGTTTGTCACTACGTACTACTACTCACTGGCTACAGGCCAAGTCACTTACATACCCTGCCCTCACCACACGCACACACTCCTACTGCTACACTGGGAACTAGACAGAGGGCACTCACGAAGAGTGCATACCTCCGCCAGCATGTAACATGTATGTGTTACGAGCTGGCTCGCTGCGCTGGCTGGCTGGCTCGCTGTCTCGACGCGCTAATATCGATCGCGCGAACACACGAACACACGCACACCAGACCGAAAACATAACCTCCTCCCCAACTCTGTTGGGCGGAGGTAAATATGGTCGGTGCAGTACGGCACCATCTACGGCCCTTAAATTAGTGCTACACCAACAGCGGTTGTGATTGACAGCTCTTAGATATGATAGCTATATATAGCAGAGAGCTATATACTAGAGTCATGTGCTATAGTGATGAAAGTCTAATAAAAAACATCAAGTAACTAAACGAAATGAGAGAAATTTATACAGATAAGGAGGCAGTGAGAGAGATATAGTCGGAGAGAAGAGGGAGGGAGAGAGAGCAAGATAAAGAAAGAGGAAGAGCGAGAGAGAGTGCCAATGAGAGAGAGAGAGAGTGAGAGAGAGCAAGTGAGAGAAAGAGAGAGACAGTGAGAGAGGGCAGGAAAGCGAGTAAGAGAAAGAGAGGGGGGAAGTGAGAGAGAGAGAAAAAAAGTGAGAGAGAGAGAGAGAAAGAGAGAGAGAGTGAGAGAGAGAGAGAGAGAGAAGAAAGAGAGAGAGAGAGAGAGAGAGAAAGAGAAAAAGAGAAAGAGAGAAAGAAAAAGAAAGAGAGAGAGAGAGAGAGAGAGA